GGTGAGAAACGACGGGAGATTCGAGATGCGGATTAGAAAGAAGGAAGCGGCGGACGTGACGGAGGCTACGGCGAGAGGTTTCGCTAGGTTTTTAAGGAGAGAATCCTTGGAAGAAGGCTCCGTATCTCGGGTAGGTAATCTACTGCTGCATTTTAAGGATTGGAAGCGAGGTGACGGTGTGGAGATGCGAGGAAGTCGAGAAGAGAAATGAGTTGAGAATTTCCGGCGAGAAGAGATAGAAGTAGGAGTGGTGGAGCTAGTCGCCGTCGGGATAAGGTGCCCGTTGGCGGAAAAGGCGGCCATGGCGGAGAAGAAAGAGCAAAGATAAGGTTTTTTACTGAGGAAGAAGCGAAGATTTTGGCTTCGGCGATAAAGCATGTGTATTTGGGGGTTTTATGCAGGTAAAGAGAAAGTTTTCCTTTAGACTACTTTTCGTTTTGTAGATACAGAACAAAAAACCACGGCGTTTTCTTTGGTTGCAAACAGCACGCGTGTTGTAGAAGTATTTTCTCATGGAGACAAAAGTTTTTGAGATTTTGTATAGTATGTGATGATTATGATTAGTGTGTCAAAAGGTGTCTACTTTCCACAATGCAGGCTTGTCTCTGTATTCACATTCGTTGGAAGTTTATTTCAACTAAATTTCAGGTGAGTTCTTTCGCTTTCTCACATAGTGGCAAATATTTATTGGTCACAGAAGTTCAGAGACAGTCTTGGTTGAGTTCTTGAAGGAGTGTCTTTTTGTAATATTTGTTTCCATTTTTCTCTTGAAAGCTCTATAAATGTGAGTCCTATTATTCAGCTCAAAACGTCAAAGTTTCTCAGGTAAAGACTTAGTCTTCCATTTATGCTTCTCTAATCAAAGGCCATGTCTATTTTAAAGCATTTTTCTTATGGTCTGTCCAAGAATCTCGGACATGCACACCTTTTCTTGTCTTATAAGTATCTTATGTTCTTGTTTGAGAATCAGAGTTCCAACACAGAAAATCTGAAAGACATTTTTCTTCTCTCAAATGTCGCCTCAACTTGACCCGGTCGCTGAGCTCGAAAGCTTAAAAACACATGTTGATCATTCAGGAAATCCCAGCTTCTCAACACTTGGCCAGCGTCACCAATGTAAGTCTCTTCAAGAAATCATCCGATTCCGCAATAGCAGCTCTGTTTGATTTGATGTTCTTGGATGCAAAATCTTGGTTTCAAACTCTTTTTCTTTCATACTTTTTTCAGCTGGTGAAGCTTCAAAATTGTCGCCAACTGGTTCACCAAGAAAGGAAAATGAGCTTCAGGGAGAACATTCCCACCATAAGAAATCTTTGTTCTCTAAAATGAAGGATAAGGCAAAAAAGCTGCAGCACAGTCTCAGCGCCAAGAAGAGACATGATGAAGAAGGTGATGCAACTATGTCACCGTTTAGAAGATCCGAAGACCATGAAGTCAGAGAACGAAGTTACGCGACCCTGTCACCACGTGACAAGTCGAAAGACCGTAAAGTCAGAGAAGAAGAAGAGGAAGATCCTGAATATCTTGGAGCCCCAAGTAAATCAAATTGAGCAAAGCTGAATAACAAACCATGTTTTTCTTTTTCGTTTTAACTTATGGCTGATCGATCGTCTTTTATGATATTTCCAGTGTATGAATCAAAGAAAGCACCTGAAGAGTTAAAGAAGACTGCAAAGCAGCATCCCCGGGAAAATCTTGTGATCACTGAGACGAATCTCTTATCTGTTCTTCCAACCAAACACGACGCTGAACATGAACAAAAAGATTGTATTTGTTCCAACAAAGAAAATCCTGTCATCTCTGAGAAGAATGTTTTGTCTGATGTCAAGCAAGAGAAGTCTCATGATTCTGACACAACAGCAATAACAGAATCAATGACTAAGAAGACAGGAAACAAAAACCAGGAACCCATTAGTCCAAGCAAGACGGTAACAGAAACTGTAACAGAGAAGCTAGCACCAGCATATGCCAAAGTCTCTGACGCAACACAAGCTATAACTAAGAAGATTCAAGATATGGCATTTCCAGAATCAACAGAGCCCGAAGAAGAGTCAAATGATATTTCAGAAATCAACACTGCAGGAACTAACCAGCCCGCTGGCTTCAATACTAAGGTACTATAACGTGTTTACACGTTTACCTCTAGACCTGTGTCTGCAATGAATCAGTCAGTCATCTTGTCCTTGCAAAAATGTGGTGATCAGGTATGGGACAAAGGCGTATCAATGAAGGAATACATAATCCAGAAGTTTGAGCCTGGCGAAGACGATAGAGCACTTTCTCAAGTGATATCGAAAGCTATCAGTCCTCGTAAAGCTTCTTCTCAGGCTGCTAGTTTTGGTGGAGCCACAACTATGGTACCTGCACCAAATTCAGCAGACAACAAAGCTCCACTTTTAGCCAACACGAATGAAAGTGAGTTCCTCTTTATAGCTTTCAACTAATACACTCTAATTTACACATTTTACAAACCTGCATTTATATTCTCTTGTGTTTATACAGTTGTTGAGGAAGAAAATCATGGGAAGATACTTCAACCAAACTAAAGAAGACCAGAGAGGGTTTCTTAATCTGTGTATTGTTTACAAAGCCTCTATACAAGAAAGAGATTTTTTTTTTTAATTCCAGTGCTCCTTTTCCTCTATTAGTTTTTATACCAAAACCTAGACTCATTGTCTAAATTCTGTTGTTGTATACATAAGAGATGAAAGATTCTAATTCATCTTTTTGTTTTTTCATTCACTTAGTTTTTATTTACGGTAATAGGAAACCTGCCGAGTTATAAAGATTTTGTTTGGTTTTTGTCTCCTTCCTTCTTGTAGTTGACTTCTGTAATAAGAAGTAAAAAAATTTCATCTTCAGA